TGTGTGTGTGTGTGTGTGTGTGTGTGTATGTGTGTGCGTGTGTGTGTGTGTGTGTGTGTGTGTGTATGTGTGTGCGTGTGTGTGTGTGTGTGTGCGTGCGTGTCACGTGTGTGCGTGTGTGTGTGTGTGTGTGCGTGCGTGTCACGTGTGCGCGTGTGTGTTCAAGTGATTGCATTTGCCGACGACATGCGTGTTGTTTATGCGTGGGAGTGTCGCTAAGCACACGCTCGTCCCGTCCGCCGTGCATATCTATCCATCCACACAGTATAGCAGTATAGCATATCGCACAGTCCTCGCACACACGCCTGTTAGGTTCTGAAATCCCGCTAAGTGCACTTTAGTGGGCGTCGTGTCGTTTGCTCACGCGCTGGCTGGCTATACGGACCGCATTGCTAAGTACGCCACTTGTATCGCTGACATCTGCACAGCTGTAGAGGCCGTCGTCGTCGGCGGCGTCGGTGTCATCGCCGTCGTGGTCGTCGTCGTCGTCGTCGTCGTCGTCGTCATCGCTGTCGTTGTCGTGGTCGTCGTCGTGGTCGTCGTCGTCGTCGTCGTCATCGCTGTCGTTGTCGTGGTCGTCGTCGTGGTCGTCGTCGTCCTCGTCGTCGTCGTCGTCGCCGTCATCATCATCATCATCATCGTCGTCGTCGTCGTCCCCGTCGTTGTCGGCATCGTCGGCGTCGGCGTCGTACCGTAATACAATATATAGCTTAATTGACTCATTCGAGCGAACAGAGTCTCGCGACGGCGCGATTTGAAAGTGAGACCTTCTCCGTATTGATTCGATCAATCGATACGTGTAAAACGATGCCGAGAAAAAACTCTTTTGCGACTTGCAGTTGAACGATTATATTCGTTTTCCCGTTTTAATTTCGCACGCGCGTAGATTCGAGATTTCAAGATATTCAAAGATTTGCATTCGCGCGTGAGAACTGTGCGATATTGTCTACACATCGTTCGAGAATTAATATTAGCGAAAAAAGAAAAGAAAAGAAAAGAAATTAATCAGCGACTTCAGGTAACACGCGGTACATCCAAACCCCACCGGTGAGGAGGCAATCGAAGGAAGCCAAAGAAGTTTAGCAAAAAAGTAAATAAGAAAAGGGGAAGGTGTGAAATTGTGTTGCAGAGGAAAACTTAAATTACGTTGTGGGTGAGAGGGGGGAATCAGAATGCGGTGCACCAGACCCCCACCGATTAGGAGGCAAGCCAAAGGTGTGATGTTACGATGGCGGTAAAAGTAAACGAAGTAATCCAAAGGAGTAGTAAAAAAGTAAGTGAAAAAAGGAAGGTGTGAGATTACGTTGGTAGGAGGAGAGGGAGGAAAACTTACATTGTAGTTGACGAGAGAAGCAAGTGAAAGGGACAAGGTGTAAAATTACACTGGGAGGAAAACTGGGAGGAATTACGTTGGCATAAAATGGGAGGGAAACTTACACACTTACAGCGCAGTTGACGAGAGAAGTAAGTGAAAAAAGGAAGGTATGACATTGACATTACGCTAGAAGAACAACTTTGGCAGGGGGGAGGTGAGAGGAGGGGAACTTACAAACTTACATGCGCAGTTCACGAACTGATCAAACATGTAGACGGGAAATAGAGGCTGTCGCAGCTCTCGTAGATACAGCTTCAGCAACCCAGCGACGCTGTTGATGTCATGGCAACACTCGGTGCCGTGTAACAGTGGATCATCGCCTGAGCAGCAGAGTCGCGGCGGTTAGCGTGCACCCCGGTGGAGGTGGGGAGCGATGGCGAGCGATTTCTGCCAGTTAGCTTTAAGTAGGGGTGTATTTTCTGCCGCCGAAGGAAAGCTCTGAACGATATTAGAAGTAACCGCATCGCAGTGCATTTGACACGCATTACCTTGGGAATCTATTTTCATTGGTAGTTATACATCTATGGCTGCCTTAGGTTACAGTTTAACGAAAGGTTCTATTCATAAACGACAAATATAACAATAGAAAGGAATTAATGAGGAAATAAGGCGCAAATCGCCTCACGATCAATATTATGTGATGTTGCGCGTGACTACCTTTCTCAAACTGATTTTTTAACTCCGTGATTTCAAGCTGGGAGCCAGACACCCTGAATAGTCCCTGATGATGCAGACCTAAGGTGAAGACAAAAACATGATAACGTCAGTCTAAATAGTACTTAAACTAGGATTTCTCTCAGAATGAAAACTATTTAATCAAAATAAAACATGTACAGTTACGGGTTTGTTAACATTTTATGCTTAAATTGCTGCATTATGTATGTGATTTTCCTGTTTTCTTCTCGTTCTCACTCTTATGAGACGTGTTGTATTGTATCTAGTGGGACAGCAACCTTAGCAACGATGATTTTGATAACGTAAATAGTTCTGTCAGTATATAATTATTTTATATAAATGAAACCATGAGCACACCTAATAAAAACAATAGAAAAAAACTTTGCTAACATACCTCTCTTAGAATATCGCGACGTAGTAACTATAAACTAACACAGCTTAACACATCTTATGTTAACACATCTTAACATCTTAACACATCTAAACATCTTAACATGTTAACACATCTTAACACATCTTATGTTAACAGAGGTAAACATCGCATAAAGGGCCGGACACACCAGGCGATGGCATCGGCCGATGGCATCGGCCGATGGCATCGGCGTGAAAATCGCCTGGTGTGTCCACTCAATCGCCGCCGATTTCATCGCCCAATGCCATCGGCCGATGCCATCGCACAGATCAAAACGTTTTGATATTATCGCCCGATGCCATCGGCCGATGCCATCGCCCGATGCAACTCGCTGGGTGTGTCCGCGACCGGCGATAACATCGCCCGATTTTACAAATATCATCAGCCAATCAGAGTTCACTCAGCAAGTTAGCACTGCGCGCGCAAGAATCGCCCGCCCGCGATGCCATCGCCCGATGCAATCGCCTGGTGTGTCCACTGACCTGCGCGGATAGCAATCCGGGGCGATTGACCCCAATCGGCCCGATTGCAACTCGCCTGGTGTGTCCCGCCATTAAGGGGTGTATCTTAGATGTATGTTACATGCACGAACAGCTAGCATTAACGCTACAGATCACCTACAGAGAAACCCACTTACCATACAGGTTTATCGTTCTGATGCAGCTTTGAACTATACGTGGAATATCGTTTCCCGTTACCTGAAACAATAACGTATAGTAAGTTTAAAAATAAGCTTGTTCTAAGTTTGAAAAATACTACTGATTATTTATTCTCTTCGTGTTGCTGATGACCACACTGAGGGAGCATCAATGTGGGTGTTGGTGTCCTTGTTGCGTCTCTTGGCGTCGTATAATATATGTATTACTTATAATATATATTACTAATATACTATATATATCAGGGGCGTTGTCAGGGGGTGCTTTTGTCTATTATGTACGTCCTGATATAATATATATATAAATATATATATATATATAAAACAGAGAGAGAGCACGAGAGAAGGAGAAGAGAGACCAAAAGAGAGAGAGAAGAAGATAGACGGAGAGAGAGAGAGACAGAGATGAGACGAGAGAGAGAAGAGAGAGGAGATAGATAGAGTATACCATTGCTATCGAATCAATTAATAACTGTTTAACGTCACCGTCGTGTACATATACGTGACCAATAACGTATCGTCCACGGTATTCAAGCTATTGCTGGCGCCTCCGAAAGTTTCGGCCTCGGAACCTCTCACTAAGGGAACCTTCCACCTGCCTTTCCTCTTCCGGATTTCGCCGAGACGGACGAGCCTCTTAGTGGCCGACGAGACGGCAGATCCATGGGAGCTTACTTACGCTGTCCGAAGGTGGCAAGCTTGATCTAGGGTCACGACTTACGCAGAAGCGGCAGTGATTTTAGGTGCTGCCTTACGGGTACTCGTGAAACTTCTGTTCGAAGAACAAACTTTAACAAAAACTAGAGTGTATACCAACGTATGTATTGTATAGTTATAATACTATATTTTTGCATTAAAAAAGTATTATACCTCTATGTTAGTAGTAGGTCATAATTTACTGTTTAATCTCATAGATTATATTACTTGATAATGATAATATATTATTTATATTACTCATTATATCTATATCTTACTATTATGATTTTGTTATCTTAGTCGCGTTCAAGCACGTCACGTCACGTTACCTTTAACGTTAACCGCACCGCACCGCACCGCGACCGCACCGCACGCCGCACCGCAACCTCGACACACTAACCACTATACCACACTATACATACTCTATTATAATAACAACATACATATTAATCCACAAAACGCTTAAGAAACAGTAACGATGGATCACAGGCTTTACCTTCAGGTAGAAGCTTCCTCCGTCTCTAGTCGTTGGGTCCCGATGCCTGGGGGTGGCTCACACGTTCCTCTGCCGGAGACAGTAGGACGAGCCAGGTCGTAGTCGCGGTAACGTTAATTCATGTTCATGAGGATTGACTCGGGTTACTCTCCAGCGTTTTCCACACCTGTAATAAGCGAAAGAAACCATGAGGGAAGCGAGAGGAGGGAGATAGATAGAGAGAGAAATACGGAGAGAGAGAGGAGGAGAAAGTGCGAGTGAGAGAGGAGGGGAGTACGAGCGAGAGAGGGGTTACGAGAGGGGAGAGATGAGAGAAAGCAAGAAAAAGAGCGAGAAAGAGATGAGAGATTGAGGAGACAAGCGAGAGGAGCGACGAGACGATGGAGTAGAGAGAGAGAGACGAGCTCGAGGATGAGAGAGAGAGACGAGGAGAGAGAGGAGAGAGAGAGAGAGAGGCAGACAGAGAACAGAGAGAGAGAGAGAAGAGAGCGAGACAGAGAAAGGAGAGAGAGGAGACGCCCAGACAGACAAAGCCAGAGAGAGACAAGCGCAGACAGAGGGAAGCCAAGAGTAACTCACCTCCTCTCCCTCCGTCCGTAGATCCGTAAGGCGCGTGCACAGCTGCTGGTATCGCTGCACCACCTCCTCCTGTATGCCTTTGTTGAGAAGAAACTTGTTTACCTTTGAAGAAGACAAGGAGTACCTTAAAGTGATTACGTCACCGTAAATAGTAAAAAATACAAAATAAATTCCACTTTTTCACAAAATATAAGTAATTCTGTTCACTTTTTATGGTTAAATTGCTGCATTATACTTCCTATCTTACTATATTGTTCGATGTGAACATACACTCGTGACGCATACATAGCCCATAGCAAGCAATTAAAGTCAGGAGCACAAATATCAAATCGTCCAGGTTTTTTGGATTTTTAACTAGTTGAAAAACAATCTTATCAGGTAAGAATTTTACGATACGTTTAGTCCCGTTAGTTCTTACTTTTAATGTAAAAAAATGGCAACAAAAATTTTACAAATTTTACCATAGAAAATTCGTGACGTAGTCAATTTAATACAAGTAGGCTGCGGCGTTTAATTTTCCACGAATTAGTTTCGTTTTTAGTTTAATTAAGTGATATTCTTTATACTTATGGGTAGGATATGAATCGGGGATTTGGTCAACAGAAACGTTACTTCGGTCTATATTGGTAAAAAAAAAGCATAATTAAATATCATTAAATTAAATAAATGAAAAAAAACTTATTATTTATATTAAATTTTTTTTTAATTACTCGCGTTTCCTTTTTTAATCGATCTAGAATTTTTTTTCCTCGATTTCTTTCCCGACATTTTTTCTTCTTCTCAAGCGTTCCCCTCTCCCTTTCTTCTCGCTCTTCTTCTCCGTTCTTTACTTCGCCTCCCTCCTCCTCCCCTACCATATCATCCCTCTTCTTCCGTCTTTTCATCGTCCTCCCCCCTTCACCTACCTTATCGTCCTTGTGCGCCTTGAATAGGAACTTGGAGGGCATGACGAACGACGAACTGTAAGCTTCTAGGAAGCTTTGCTTGTCCTTGCGTGCATCCAGGTTTCGTATGCACTCGTCCATCGCTGTGATCCCACTCTGCAGCGTCTGCTTGCAAGCTTCTTCGCAGCTAATGTGCATCATGAAGGCACGAGCCACCGAGTTGTGGAAGCCAAAGTCTACGCACTGTCAGGGAAAACCAACGAGGGTGGTGGGGATTATGGTGGGAGTCGAAAGTCGGTGCTCTAGCAAGGATTTGCGAAGGAGTTGTGGAAGTAAAAAGTCTAAGCACTGACAGGTATTAAAAGACGAGACTGGTGGGAATCGTGGTGGGAGTTGAGCATTGACAGGTAAAATGCTGCGAGTGGTGGGTATTATGAATGTGTATGAATGTGTATCGGTGTGTAGAAGTGAATGATGTCCAGTGGGCTAATCATTGTTACAGGTCATCGTAACGGCTCGTCATTTTAAATGTTATGTTGAGTGTCTAGAGTTATGAACGGATAAATGAATGAACGAATCAATGAATTATTTAATACATTAATTAATATGCCTTATCGTCTTCTATCTTCAATAACTACCCCTCCCACATGAAAATACAATTCCTCGTCACCAGTTTCTTAACGTTACTTGCCACTAGATGGCACCACAATGCGTACTACTCTGACGAACCTCACCACGCGCACTGTGCATGGATTTCAAACGAACCCGCTTTACTAGCTAGCTTACTCACGCAGTTAGCGGAGGAACTCACTGTGTATAACTGAGAGAGGAATCAAGGAGGAGAGAGAACGTTTATGGGCTGTGCCTTTTCGTCGGTAATAAAGAAGCAATGAGCGATAACGCTCCGCTCGCACGTGTGCGCCCATAAAGCGACAAGCAGACTTCTCCGATTGCAATATACGGTCTCTATATATATATTATATATATAGAACCGCAACGTGGTATTAACAACAGCTTGGCCGACCACCTGCTCTCTCTCTCTCGTCTCTCTCTCTCTCTCTCTCCTCTCCTCTCTCCTCTCTTTTCTCTCTCGCTCTCTCGCTCTCTCCGCTCTCTTCTGCTCTCTCTCTTCATTTCTCTCTCGCTCTCTCGTTCTCTCGCTCTCTCTCTCTCTTCTCTCCTTTTCTCTCTCTCTCGCTCCTCTCCTCTCTTTCGCTCTCTCGCCTCTCGTCCTTCTCTCTCCTCCTCCTCTCTCCTCTCTACTCTCTCTCTCTCCCCCTCTCTCTCTCTCCCCGCTCTCTCTCCCCCTCTCTTTTACGCACACTTACGTCTATGAGATCGGATACGTCTTCGACGTAGTATTTGTGGATGGCAGCGTTGGCACTCTCCAGACACAGTAGATACTCGTTCCTCGCCTTGATCGCCTTCATCTCGTTCTCAGAGTGTTTGAACGCCCTCTAGCGTAGGGAAAACGTAATTATGCGCATTACGACTGCAGCTAACGCGATCGTCTGTGACATGTGCGTGTGACGGTAACATTTTGGCTTCAGGGAATGCGCGTGGTAGCATGCCAAATGCAACGCATGTAGCGCGATTACGGGAAATACTATTTAAAGAAAGAATGTGGCTTTCTAATCCGCACTTTTTGGCGAATGATAGTAAAAATGACACCATTTTATACTTTTACACGACGTGTAGGTAACTTTACTGCCAAGTTCGTATTCGTTTGTTCGATTTCAGCACACGTCACCTCCAAACTAGACTTCTCAATGGCCCAACTAAAAATTCGGCCCGAGTTCACACGCCGTGTCGACGAGGAGGATATATATATATATATATATGTATATATATCCCTCTCTCTCTTTCTCTCTCTCTTCCCTCCCGCCATCCCCTCGCTCCCCACCCCTCCCTCATTCTACCGCACCTTGCATATCTCCTTGTCGAGCATGCGTGCCTTCCTGCTGCCGGCTAGCTTCTCCTTGCTCAGGCTCTGATCGAGCTTCCCGCGCTGGTTCTCCACATTCCTCAGCTTTACCTCCGACTGCCGACACTCCGTCTGATACAGGTGGTAGGTCTTCAGCGTCTGTAACACGCACGCACGCACGCACGCACGCATACGCACGCACGTACGTACAAGATTATTAGGAATTCACACGCGGGTTTTGACAGTACATGTATGTTTACAGTAGAGGCGGTATGGCGGCTGTGTGTGTATGGCTTCAGTGATGATGCTTGGCTTCATTTGAGAGGTTTTTGCTGTTACCTCGCTTGTGGTGCAAGATTGCTGCAGCCTCCCGAGGATTAAGACGTGACTCACACGCGAGTCAGCAGTTTTTAGTTTTAGTTTTTAGTCCTCAGTTTTTAGTAGTTATTACTCAGAGTAGTTTTGATTCAGCGAGGGGGAGAGAGTGGAAGAGAGGAGAGTGGGCGAAATGGGAGGAAGGGAGAGAGGGTAGGGTGTAAGAGAAGGTAGGGTGAGAGTGGAAGAGAGGAGGATGAGACAAAAAGAGTGGGAGAGGAGAGGCTGAGAGAGGAAGAGGGTGGACGAGAGGAAGAGAGTGGGTGAGAGGGGAGGGAGGGAAAGCGGGTAAGGTGTGAGAGAGGGGAGGGTGAGAGAGGAAGAGGGTGGGAGAGAGGGGAGGGTGAGCGAGGGGAAGAGAGTGGGAAAGAGAGAGAGGGGGTGGGAGAGACAGGGTGAGCGAAAGAAAGAGAGTGGGAGAGATGGTAGAGTGGAAAAGAGGGGAGGGTGCGAGAGAGAAAGGGAGGGCTCTAGAATTGCGAACGTAACCGACTGCGGAGTTTCCCGACGTTGCCAACGGTCGTGTATAATTACCGTGTGTAGTTCGTTGAGGACTCGCATCAGGTCGTCGTGGCTTTCGTAAGCAATCTCTCTACACTGCAACGTAAATTGGTTAACTGCGTTAGCGCGGGCGACGCGGCCGCCCCAAGACAGCACACACACATAATCACATCCCTGTAATGTGATCTACTCTCTAAAGAGCCGCCGCTGTCTGTCTGAAAGCTGGGGTCGTGGAAACGAGCTGAGAGCGGTTTAGTGTACTGGTCACCTTGCCTCACCCTAGTCATTGAGTTCTTGATTTGGCATTTCCCTACCGCAGCCATTAACTTCACCTTGCTCTCCCTCAACCTTACTTCTGGTCCTGACCTTTCCCTACGTCCGCCTTACTTCTGGTCCTGACCTTTCCCTACCTCCGCCTTACTTCTGGTCCTGACCTTTTCCCTATCTCCGCCTTACTCTTGGTCCTGATCTCGCCCCCGTCCCAGTCATTGACTTGACCTTGCGAACCCCAGCCATTACCCTGAACTTGACCAAGCCACGGCCGAGCTCCTTCGGCCTGAACCATCTAGCCCAAACCAGCCCCTTGACGTGACCCCTACCCTAAGTCTTAATCATAAAAACTACCTTGCCCTACTCCAGCCCTGGACCTGACCTTGCCCCACCGCAGCCACACCGGCGCCTCTCACCTTGCGATGTATTCGCTGCAGGTGCGTACCACGAGTGCGACGTCCATTACGAAAGCCCCGATGAGCACCATGTGTGAGCTGCAGACGCAGCGCGACCGACGCCACACGCGCCGGAGCGACTCTCGAGCCTGAGACACGGCGTGGTCACGACTACAACACACAGCAACACATGCGAGCGACGCTTCGTGGTCAAGTTGAGCACGCCGTGCCATGCCAAAGCAGGCGAACGTAGAAAACATCTGCCATTGCTCCTTCCTGCAAGCACGCAAGATAACCAGTAATATTAGCTGCTGTTCCTTCCTTCCTGCAACGCAACCAAGCCAACGAAGGATAACAAAATGGGTCCATTGCCAACTTGCTCCTCTACCTACAAAGCACGCAGAGATAACCAAGTAATATTCAGCCTGCTGTTCATTCCCTTCCTGAAGCAAACACTCAAAGCAAGAAAAGATAACATGGCCAATACGCCACTGCTGCCTTTCTACAAGCAGGAAGCAAGCAAGAAAGATAACCAGTAATATTAGCTGCTGTTCCTTCCTTCCTGCAAGCACTCAAGTAAGAAGGATAACCAATGGCCATTGCCACTGCTCCTTCCTGCAAGCAAGGAAGCAAGCAATATTAGCTGATGTTCATTCCTTTATAAAGAAGAAGCGAGCAAGTCATTGAGTCAGGTAACTAGTGATATAAGCTGCTGCTCCTTCCTGCAAGCACGCAAGAAAGATAACCAATAAAATTAGCTGTTGTTCCTTCCTGTAAGTAAGCAAGCAAGCAAGCAAGCAGTGAGTCAGGTAAGCATTGACATTTGCCGCTGCTCCTTTCTGCAAGCACGCAAGTAAGAAAGATAACCAACGACATTTGCCGCTGTTCCTTCGATCAAGCAAGCAAGATAGATAACCATTAAAATTCATGCAAGCAAGCAAGCAAGCAGTGAGTCAGGTAAGCATTGACATTTGCCGCTGCTCCTTTCTGCAAGCACGCAAGTAAGAAAGATAACCAACGACATTTGCCGCTGTTCCTTCGATCAAGCAAGCAAGATAGATAACCATTAAAATTCATGCAAGCAAGCAAGCAAGCAGTGAGTCAGGTAAGCATTGACATTTGCCGCTGCTCCTTTCTGCAAGCACGCAAGTAAGAAAGATAACCAACGACATTTGCCGCTGTTCCTTCGATCAAGCAAGCAAGATAGATAACCATTAAAATTCATGCAAGCAAGCAAGCAAGCATGATCCATCAGCTAGTGGGAGTGCAGGGAATACACGGATAGCTCGAGTCAGACAGTAACTGCGGCCAGGCGTGTATGCAAGTAGGTAAGCGCGGCTACCAGCCTGTGAGGGAGAGAGAGAGAGAGACAGAGAGAGAGACAGAGAGAG